TTTTGTAAGGCAAAGGACACTATCAATAGAACAAAATGGCAATCAACAGATTGGGAAAAGATCTTCACCAACTCAACATCTGATAGAGGATTAATATCCAATATATAGAACAAATTCAAGAAGTTAGATTCCAGAGAACCAAATAACCATATTAAAAGGGAGGTACAGAGCTAAACCAAGAGTTTTCAACATAGGAACCACTAATGCTGGAAAAGCACCTAAAGAAAAGTTTAACATCCTTAGTCATCAGGTTAGGGCAAGTCAAAAACAACCCTGAGATTCTACCTCATACCAGTCAGGATGGCTAAGATCAAAAACATAGGTGATAGCAGATACTGGTAAGAATGTGGAAAAAGAGGAACACTCTTCCATTGTCGGTGGGATTGCAAGCTGGTACAACCACTCTGGAAAACAGTCTGGTGGTTCCTCAGAAAACTGGACAACATATTACCTGAGGATCCAGCTATATCACTCCTGGGCATATACCCAAAAGATGCTCCAACATATAACAAGGGCACATGCTCCACTATGTTCATAGCAGCCTTATTTATACTAACCAGAAAAGAGAAAGAATCCAGATGTCCCTCAAGAGAGGAATGGATATAGAAAATGTGGTACATTTACATAATGGAGTACTACTCAGCTATTAAAAACAATAAATTCATATAATTCTTGGGCAAATGGATGGAACTAGATAATATCATCCTGAGTAAGGTAACCCAACTAGAAAATAAAACACATGTTATAAACTCACTGACAAGTGGATATTAACACAAATGCTCAGATACCCGAGATACAACTCAGAGACCACCTGAAGCTCAAGAAGAAGGAAGACCAAAGTATGTATACTTTGGTCCTTCTTAGAAGGGGGAGCAAAATATCCATGGCAGGAGATCCAGAGAAAAATTGTGGAGCAGACACTGAAGGAAAGGCAATTTAAAGACTGCCCTGCCTGGGGATCCCTCTCATAACATTTAACAAACCAAGACACTACTGTGGATACAAAGAGGTGCTTGCTGACAGGAACCTGATATAGTTGTCTCCTGAGAGGTTCTGGCAGCGTCTGACAAATACAGAGAGGGAGTCTGACAGCCAACCATTGGACTAAGAATGGGGTCCCCAATGGAGGAGAAAGGACTTAAGGAGCTAAAGAGGTTTACAGCCCCATAGGAGGAACAACCATATGAATGAAACAGACTCCCCAATGTTATCAGGGACTAAATCAAAAATAAGAGTGCACATGCAGTGACCTATGGCTCCACCCACATACGTAGCAGAGGATGGACTTGTTGGGCATTTTTGGGAGGAAAGATTCTTGGTTGTATGAATGTTCAATACCCTAGTGTAGGGTAATGGCAGGAAGGGGAAGTGGAAGTAGTTGGATGGGTGTGGGAACACTCTCATAGAAGCAGGAGGAAGAGGCATGGAATAAGGTGATTTTGGAGGAGAAACCAGGAAAAAGGATAACATTTTAAATGCAAATAAAAAAATTTCTAATAAAAATTTTCAAAAAGTCAACATAAAACAAAAACAAAAAAAAATATATCCAGTAATTTTAGTAGATATCCTTCTACTCTGATATCATACATAAGATTTCCAAGTAACGCCTCCTGGCTGACATCTAACACTTGGAGTAGTTCCAAAATATTTGTCTTTCAGTCGGGGAGCTGAGAACCCAGTGGTTGTTTGGTACACATGGCTGGTTCCCTCAGTAGTCTCACTGTGTCATGGAAAATCTTTATAAGTCTTAAGGGAGCAGCTGTTTCTTAGACCATGATAGAAGCATGGAAATACTGGCTCTAATATCAGTTCATTCTAAGACGTGGTAAGTTGAAATGAAAACACCATAAAATGTTCTTAGACTAAAAAGACTCCAAGACGTTAAATGTGGGTTCTGTTAATCAAAACTGAGTTCTATGGAAAAGTAGCTATAGGGAATATGGCTATTCCATATTATTGTCAGGACTATGAATGATAGCTTAGATTATTTGAAAATTATGCAATTGGACTCCTATATCTTTACTTGAAATAAATGAGAGCTGTATGCTACAAAAGGCTAAGGTGTAAGTTGACCACAGATAGGTTTTTCTGTTTTAATAGTGGTATCTGTAGGCTTATTGGACAATGAGGTAGCATAAAACTTTTCATCGAAATAAGAAAAATAAATACACAATCAAAAGTAAAAGAAAGATACATGGTCTGGATATGGTAGATTATCCTGTAATTCCAGAAGTCACAGTTATAGGGGGTAAGATCAAGTGTTTAAGGAATGACTCTGCTACATAGTCATTCTGAGTCATCTTGAACTATATCAGACCATGCACCAGGAAAAAGAAATTGACTTAAAAGAAAGAGTGCTTTAAAAAGGATAAACTGAACTTTCAGACTCCACAGAGGATGCAGTGGACTTATATTAGAGTCTCTGCTATGACATATGAAAGAGAGAACTAGGTTGAAGAAGCAAAGGTCTTCTTCATGGATTATTCTCTGTCTTCTCCAAGAGTAAATTATATCCCTGGTTATTGAAGAGCCCAGATATACATCAAAACACTCTTGTGGACTCCTCTTATCACGCTTACTACATTCCTGAGTCAACTTTCTCATTTCCTCTCTCTCAGTGCTTCAGCCCACCAAGGACTATGTGGGTAGGTAGATAAGGCAGAGTGTTAAAATATCTCTGATTATAAAAGATCAGGGTGGATACAATCACGGAAAATCTCAAAACAGAGCTGTTTGGGGTTTTCTTAAGACATGTGAAGTTTACCATATATCATGGTTGTGAAAGTTACACCTTAAAACACACAAGCACCAGGAAGTGGGTAATTGGCCAGAATAAGTCTATCCTCCCAGTGAAGCAAGTGATCAACCCATCCATTCCAGTGGGCTGATGATTACTCCAGGTGTCCCTCAGCTGTGCAGTGTTGGTTCTGTAGTCCGAGGGTCTGACAGGTATATTTGAATGTATGTCTAGGATTATGTCTTTCTAAACATAAAGGTGTAGGCAGTTGTGGGTTCTCAAATAAAGGATTTTACAGCAAAGATGTCAGGAACATGAGTATGTATATGTGTATGTGTATGTGTATGTGTATATATATATATATATATATATATGTATATGATGTATATGTATATGTGTGTGTGTTTTGTGCATGTGTGTGCCTGTGTGTGTGTTGGTGCTGGTGTGTGTTTGGTTTTTTTGTTGCTATTTGTTTTTCACATGAATGAATTTAAATGCAAAATTCAAGAAAACGAATATTTCTTCAAGTACATGACTGTTTTATTACCTGGTCATTTGAGTTTTGTACTTCCTGTTTTATGCTACACTTTGGTCAAAGAGACAAAACTGAAAACTGAAGAGCCAATCAATTCCATTCCCTTTGCAGTCACTATATCTTTTAATGCTAACAGTACTCCTTAACTGTTTACAGTTTTTTTTATAAATTCAACCTCAGTTGTACAGAGCTTAGAGGAAGCTGCAGCTCTTTGGCTTTACAGTTATGGGCATGCTCCTATCTCTGACAATACAATCAAACAGACACCCACTCTCTGTTCAAGATCTGTTAACTACTCTCCTCCTTCACCAAGTGCACTGATAGGCCCCTTTTCACTGGATAATTATATGGTGAAAATAATGAACAAACAGCTCTTGTGTTCATTCCCACAGTCTTTGCATGATGTTAGAGGAGGCAAAACAACATACAGAAAGCACAAAGAACCATCCCCTGTGCATGGGGTTTGCCTCTGTGGTAGGGATCACACCCTCTCAACAGAAAAAGAATGTGAATATGTCTTAGCACCATTAATATTTTTGTGGGCAGAGTGACATAAACTCCCAGATGAGGGATGAATGTGGGTTTTCTAGGCAGCAATGTTCAGTCAGTGTAGTTGAAACAGCTACATTCCAGGAATGAAACCATGGGCAAAAATCATAGAAGAAAAATTCACCTCATATCATCTCTAAATATTATCAATTGTAAGTAATTTCATGCCAACTTATAGGCTGCAAATGAACCAGATGTCACGTGATAAGCTATATCATAGATCCTTAAACCTATATCTCCTTGAATCTCATGTCTTCATGCATAAAATATCTTTCTTAGTATGTTCTAAAAATTATATCATGTAGTTCTAAAACTAATAAAATACTACAAAACAACTAGAATGTTTAGAAGCAGAGAATTATCTAATTAATTCATGCTGTATATAAATGATTAATAAATATGTACAATATTAAGAATCTTGAGATCAGTATTTATAAAATAAAGAGCTGCTTATTATTTATTTCAAAAATATCTATCAGAAACATGGTGTAAATTGGTATCATTGTGTACAGCTGTAATTCTAAGACAGAGAAGAGTGAGTCAAGAGGTCAAGAGGACTGTTCTAGAACAGCCCATGCTACATAGTAATATAAGTATCTCAAAACAACAACAACAACAAATGAACCAAAAACAAAACACCAGAACAAAATAAAACTGGGCCTGACTCTATAGCTGAGCGAAGTGTGTTTGCTGACTATGCTTATTGTCTTAGATTCAATTTTCCAGCACTATGAAAACATCAGCAGTAAAACCACTCCATATGAAATGACATCAATATTGTCAGTAAACATTATCTATGATTAAAAAGCTAGAAGAGTGTAAAGGAAGAATTTACCAGTGGAAATCTGAGTGCTTTGAAGGCAATCTTAATACATACTTTAAGCTGCTATTAGCATAATTCAAATCAAGACATAACTTTAAAATATAATAAGACAAAATTTACAACTTCCTATTTCAAAACTAGGCGAGAGCAGTTTTAGTCTGTCTTTTTCCTAGTGGGTTTGCTAAGGACACTGGTTTTGCTCTCTCTTCAGGAGTGTTCACCTTTTCACTATTCAAATCTCAATTATGGACATTACTTTTGTAGCATGTGGCACAATATTTTGCTTCTCACCTTTTTTTTTTCTCAGAGTTAGGTTTCCTTAAGCAATTTCCTCTTTTTGCTTTGGTAAGAGTAGAGGCAGAAAATTATGAGTTTGAGTTTCACTCTGAGGTAATTTAGTTCTGCCTTTTCTCTTGGAGCTTCTTAGTGGATACAAGCTAGAAAAGGCCAACTTATCCAGCAGTTGGGGGATCAATTCCTTCCAAGAGAATCACCTCTGAGCATGGACACAGGTAACAATTGCTGCTTTTATTTACTATTTTATCAAATGATCAAATATACTGGAGAGAATTTCATATGGTGTGACATGAGAGAAGGATTAATGGGGAAGCCCTGTTGGTTGGGTTATATCAGGTTAACTCTAGCAGCATGTGAAAACTGTCATTCTGCATTGGTTATTTTCTTTCAAAGTATGTTGGGACTTATGTTGAGTGCTAAGAAATTAAGGCAGAGGGATCTAAACAGTTTATTACTTTTTAACTGGGTTAAATGTTTATATATCATCCATCTGAAAGATGTTATAATTGGAGCCTGATAAGATGGGTCAGTGTGTAAAGGTATTTGTGACCCAAGCCTGATCAAATAACTGAGTTTGATCCCTGTAATGCATATGAAGCTGGAGAAATAGTGTAGCTACCCATCAGCTATGGACGAGCTGGATTCATCTGAAAGGAAGGCTGGAAACGAAAAAGACAAGGTGGGGCAAGAGAAACATGAATCCAAGACAAAGTTTTCTGATCAAGACTCAAAGTTTAATATTCAGCACTTTAATGTATAAGGAAAGCCTACTGAACCTATACCTTGTGTCACTGGATTATGTTGCAAAGCAAGCTCAGAGGACAGTCTATTCTTCTAAGTTCTTGTGGGAAGTTGTACATGCAGCCAGAGTGGATGACTCCACCTGACTTCTATTGTGGCAAGGTCTAGGGTGGTAAAACAAGGTCTTTCCAGCCTTCTCAAGGCTGAGGGAGGGCACATGAAACAACTTTGTAAAGTTGTCTTCTGGACACATGCACCTGGGCTCAGCCAGCTACACCCTAAGAGCAATAAATAACAGTTATGAAAAAGAATTCTGTAATGGAAGGATTCATTTTTTTAAGAAGGCAAAGGGTTGATCACTTCAGAATCCTTCCTAAATTAAAAAGCTAGATAAAACTGCTATCAATGTGCAGCTCGTTGTCTGAATTATCAACTGGCACTCATCTCAGTTATTAATGTTAAGGTAAGGTCAGTTACAAATTCTTACTGTTTACTAATACATTGATATATATTATTAGATTGTATCTTTCATGGGCATTAGCTCCTGGATACTGCATAGTGACAAAATTTATTTCCTTATAGCCTCCCGTTGCACAATCATGTAAGAGAATATTATATGTGACATGATTGTGTATATGGAATGATCTGTGATTAAAACTTCATATTGTATACTCCATGCCTCTGTCCATTGCTCCTAAATGCTAACCGGCAATGTACCCTTTCTACTTTCCTGCTTGCTGCAATTAATAAAGGTTATAAACCATTTCTGAAAACTTTGAGGCAAGAGACTCAGATGAGAGAGAATGTCTTTCTGGAACTGTTTTATCTCACCCAGTAGAATCTTTTCTGTTTGAATCCACTGACCAGTTCCAAATCTGGAGAAGAATGTGTAGACTGTGATGGGGTGGAGATGTTTGATATCTCAGCTGATTGGCACTTAAACCCAAGAGATATTTATGTGTCTTGGATTACCTATAGTATTATACTTTAGATATTCTTCGGAAGGTAGTGTCTGGGAAACTCTGAGAATAATATATAAATAAAATGACTGAAAGAACATTTAATATTCATGTGGTTATCAAAATATGTAGATAACTTTAAAGCAACATTTTTATTTTTTTCTTAAAGCCTTGACTGTTTGTTATTTGAATAGATTGTTTAAAAGTTTTTCATTGATATTCAATGGCACCAGTTTTAACTAACATTTTAATGTGCTGAATATTTTGAACAAACAAGCTATGTCAATATTATAACTTATCAGTATATTTTAATTTTTTCCATATTTACTAAAAATAATTGTTGTGACCATTAAATAAATAAACAACTTCTACACAAATATGCAAAGGGTTGTAACCTCTAATGGCAGTCGGGGTCAGTTCATGTTAGGCTGTTTAGATTATTAAGTCAGTTAGTCAGAACCCTCCCTTTCCCAACCCTCTGTATCATCAGATCCAGGTATCTACTTAAAGGTGGACATTTTAATTTTTTTCCTTAGGAATCACTCAAGGGCACATTTAACAGAGAACTTACTCCACATACTCCCAAGATGAGTGAGCAGGAAGTTACTTTTTCAATTGTGAAATTTCGTAAGGATACAAGGTCACAGAACCAAGTAAGCACTGAGGAGAGTCAAGCACCCAGAGAAGCTGGCCCCAGAGGTAATAGTGTTAAGTGTCTATAATCACATTGTTTAATGCATTTTAAGCTTTTAACAATTTAAAAATATCCCACGGCCTTTTATTGAAAACTATTGTGTTCCATTTCATCTGGGCATGGTTATGCACAAGGGTGAAAGGGAAGAAAAGACTATTTGTTGGCAAGTACCACATATAAAATTGTTCAAAATTAAGTTGAAAAAATAAACCAATCAAGTTTTAAAATTTGAAAACATAAAGAAAAAATGTAAACCTACTCCTACTTTTTAGTTACTATCTGGTAACAGAAAAAAAACAGATGGGCAGATTAGAACAATGGGAATCTATAAAAAAAAATTCCAAACTCTTGAAAATCAAGAAGAAATGAGAAACCATTAAGAGGTTAATTTATCATTATTATTATTATTACTATTATTATTATTTTATTATCATTATATCATCAGCAGCATTAGTATTATTATCATCAGTATTAGTATTATTTAGTCTAGTAAAGTAGAATTCTGAAAAATTTTAAAACTAACTAACAAAATAAGGCCTGAAAATACATGAAATATTCTAAAGACCCAAATCCTATGGAAATGAAGCTTATTTAGTAGAAACAATACTTTCACTCTCAAAGAAAGTGCTTTATTTGTCATAAATATCCCTAAAATCTATGCAAACAAGACAAAAAAATTGTCCATCAGAAGAGGAAGTCTCCTCCTGAGAATATAGTTACAGAGGAAGAAAGAGGGGTTGAAAGGTTAGTAGGTGTGGAAATGAGTAAACCCCAGTGTGATTTCCAGAAAATGTCAAAGAATAATTTTGTTTATTAATGAAAAAGAGGAAATCTCACTTCTTATTCTCTTTTTTTAGTTACTTTATAAATACTGTCTCATCTATGCTCTAAGCTGAGATATCATTCTTCTTTCATTTTCTGGTAATTTGGTAATTCCAAATGATACACAAAAATGTGTACTACTATATAGGGCAGAATCAAAATTACAGGGATGAAGAAATAGTTGATCTATAGGCCATTTCAAGGACGGGGATGTATACAGATCAGTTCCAGAGCAAGTTTGGTTCCCTACCATTACCTTTGAGCATCCATTACTCTACTGTAGAATGGACTTCAGTTCCAGTAGAACTGGATGAGGGCACATGTTTGTCATGCAGCGCCTTCTAGGTTGACTCAGAAGGATTGATAATACAAGGCCAAGGCTGAAAAGTTCAAAATTTTGTGAAATTTTCTGAAACTTCACACATGTAGGACTACTACATTGAGTATACCTTCAGTAGAAATCTACAATTTTGGCATCACATTTTAAGTCTGTTTGTATCATCAACTTTTGCAAAATTTTCTCTTGTTTCCATGCTACACAAACTATAACTAGTATTGGGATGTGCTCTTTTCATGATGATGATTTTCTTGCTTTGTTCTGTTGATTAAGTGTGTTCGGTCCCCTGGAAGATCATTGTGATAGCTCTCGGAATCCTCTGTTCCCTTCGGCTGGTAATTTTTGCAGTTCTAGTGACAAACAGTGAGTAACTGAGATACATTCTATTTGATTTTCTGCCTAAAGAATAGTTTTAGCCATGAACTATGCAGTGATATACTCTGTCCATTGTCCTACCTATAATGAGGAGATGAGACAGAATCTCTGGACTTTAATGTTGGCACACTGTAGACTCTCGTTCTCTTACATACCAAATCTGTCAGCTATGGGGCTGTTTTCTGTCTCATGCTTGGTCATATTTCTTCTATGGACCTGGTGATAGTCTGCCTTTAGAGCTAAAGTGATTTTGGATTTTATGTAAACATTTTGTGGTAAGCAATTGTGGAAAAGTTGATGACCTTCTTTTCCTTATTCTTCAATGTATACTGAGGTCATGGTTAAATAAAAAAAACTTCATCTGCAAAGAGACAATAAAAGTTAAACTTTATTGGACTCCTTCACATTTAAAGGAAAGAAATCACTTCCAGGTTGTGTTTTAACATAGAGATATTTGTGTATCTTTAGCTTTGCATATGTTCCAATAAGAATTGTGTCATATCTTAACATTTATTAGCTCATATTTTCATTCTGTGATAATTAATTGCTGAGTATTTTATTTAGGTATTTATTTTTAAATTTGTGCAATAAACAGTAGAGTGATTAGAAGTTACTGTCACTATAATTTTATTCAGGTTTACTATTTATTTTACAGTCAACATTTTCATAGAGAAACATTGATGTATCTATTTTATATTGACTTAGTTGAAGTTCTAATTTACAAATGTTAAAGTTCCAAAGAAAGATATGATATGTGTTGGCTGCCAACATGAAGGCTTTTTGCTAATAATAAATTTCAGTATTTATTTCTTATGAGCATGTTTGATTTTATAATGTTACTAATTTTAGTTTTTCAGTATAGTGAAGAAAAACATAAACTGCAGGAAACTCTAAAAATCCTCCACCATAACTACAGCACCATGCAAAATGAAAGCTATTTAAAGGAAGAAATGCTGAGAAATAAGTCTATAGAATGTAATTCTTACAAAAATCTTCTGGACACCTTCAAGAGACAACAGAACAGATGCCACATGGAAGCCAAGGTTATTTTAGATTGCTTACAGCACAGAGGTATGGAGAGGAACTTGAAAAAAACAGTTGCATTGTTTTATATTGTTTCTTCTTCCAGAAGCTTTGAAATCAAGTATCAGCTTAGGATGCTATTGATGTGTGAGTTAATGGTCTGGGGTTTCTTTAACTTGAGTAGAGTCCTGGAATCCTGGAAATCCCTGTCTGGACTAGGAGAATCTTATAGTTGATAGAACTCAGTGGCCTTTCTGGTTCCTACTGGTCCCAGAAGATGGAATCACAAGTTGGCACCCCAAACAATTCAGGTCTTTATGGTTTACTGCAAATTATGAATCTCTAACTTTGTTGCTGACAGAACTTGGC